CATGGATGCATGGAACAGACTGACTGACTTTAAGAGGGGAATGGGATGGGGGGGGGGATTAGCCAAAGAACATATATGCATATATGCATAGTTCATAGACACAGACAATATTGTGGGGAAGGCTTGGGGAAAGGTGGGGGCTGGATGGAGGGGGAGCAAAGCAAGGGGAATGGAGGACACCTGTAATACTGTCCACAATAATAATAATAAAAAAACCCTCATAGGCCTGGCTGGTGTGGCTCAGTGGTTGAACGTCAAACCCATGCACCAAGAAGTGGCCAGTTCAATTCCCAGTCAGGGCACATGCCCAGGTTGTGGGCCAAATCCCCAGTGAGGAGCATGCAGGAGGTGGCTAATCAATGTTTCTCTCTCTCCCTCTCCCTTCTGTTCTCTCTAAATCAACAAAGGAAAATAAATAAATAAAAAACCCTCATAGACATAGACAACCTTATGGCCATTACCAGAGGGAGAGGGGGTGGGGGAAGGTAGAAGAGGGTAAAGGGAGGATAAATGGTGATGGAAGGAGACTTGACTTGGGTCAGTGAACACACAATACATATACCAATAATGTGTTATAGAACTGTATACCTGAAACTTACATAATTTTATTAACCGATGTCACTCCAACAAATTCAATAAAAATATAAACATTAAGCACATTAAACAAATAGAAGTAATATTTATTGTGAGATGGATGAGTAGGAGTTATCCAGGCTAAGTGTATGAAGAATGGTTGAGAGAATGTTTCAGACAGGGAAAATCGTGGGAACCAAACCAAGACTTGCAAGGGCATGAGCTTTGAGGAGATGAAGGGAATTTATTTAGCACAACAGTGTAGTTGTTACTATTTCTAAATACCAATTGTTGCAGAGCAGAGATTAGGAAGCAAGGGCTTTTCCATTAGGCAGGCATTCTATTTAACAGATGGGTGACCTTAGCCAAGACAATCTCTATGTATGCCTCACTTTCCTTTTCTATTGAATAGTAGGTTAGTGATGTAAGATCTGAAAAAGAACTCCAAGGTCATGGAAAGAAAGAAAGACTGTGTAAGTCTAAGAAACTATTTTGACAGTTACAATGCAAAGATAATAGAATTACTCATTAGGATAAATTTTTAAAAAATAGTTCTTTCTTAAAGAACCAGATAACAGGAGGCCTAATGAGATATCAAACTGTCACTTAAAAAGATGTGATCCTTCCCTTTAGTGAGCTAAAGGGCTTCATTTTGTTATTTGTGGGCATGTGTGTGTGTGTGTGTGTGTGTGTGTATTGGGGGGGGGTGTATTGTTCTTTACCTCCAGTGCTTCATTGTTCCTTTACTTTTATTTTTTTATTTTATTATTATTTTTTATTTCTTTGCAGGGGAGAGCATGAACACAGTCTCCCACTACCACAAATTATGCAGTCGAGTGTCCCACATTTGGGGAAATTGCAGGGGTCAGCACATCTGGAGTGCAATGGATAAGCCTCGCCCTGGGAAAACCACCTTCGTGATCATGGTATCTCCCCTGCCATGATCTTTTACTAATGCATGATGAACATGTAGTACATATGGGTCTACCTCATTCCTTTAAACAGATTCTTCACCCACACTATACTAAAAATATTAAGGGGGATTCAGGCAAAATATTTGAATAGATATTTTTCAAAGTCAGATGTACAAATGGCCAATTAGTACTCAAAAAGATGCCTCACTTAACCAAATTATCTACCAAGTGATACAATTGTTTTTGCTAAGGCTCTTGCAAAATGCTTTTGACAGAATATCAAATAACTGCTTTTGGATACTGTTACGGGTGTGTGACCTCCCCTCAAACCTTACCCTACCTTGAACTTTTCTTGTAGAGGCAACAGACCAGAGTTTCTCTTAGCATTTATCTTTTCCTTTTATGGAAGCAGCAGTGATAGATGGGATCTGGACTGACATTCACACACACACACTTTCCTGTTGGTCTTGCAGTGCAAAATTTTTCCTAAGATTACTCCTGTCATTGGCATCCTGGTAAATTCATTGATATTGCTCTTCTACTTCTTTTATTTTGTGCATCATTGTAGCTATGTGTTTCTGCAACTTAAAGTTCCTCATAGACTATTTACTTTTAGTTTCTTAGTTGATATTTTCATTCAGTTATTTAGGATTCATTCAAAATCCTATGCATTTAAGTAAAAACTAGAAAGAGTTACAAATGCCCTGTTTATACTCTACAGTATAATGAATTATTTGCTTTATTTAACTTGGAATTAGAAACCAAAATGTGTGATGTTAGGAAAGGCTTGCCATTCGCATTAAGATTTATTGCACAGAGAAAATTGTTTTTGGGAGAGGCCATCTGCCTTGGATCCTGAGCATCCCTGCATGTTCTAATTGGGTGTACCAAGAAGTAAGGTCTGATCACTCTACACAGGCAATCCATTTCTCAGAGTTGTGTTTGCAACAAGCAACTTTGAGGGATGAGGCAATGTTTTTCACTGGACAGAGAGCAGGCTCAAACACTGTGATTTCTCCAATTTCAGGTTTTCTTTCTTGCAACACAATGCACTGCATGTACAGGCCTCCACAATAGGCCCTGTGCCACCCCATGAAACTTAAGGATCATGGATAACTGATACAAACCAGTATGAAACTCTGGCTACTACCTTTGCTGTGAGTAATAATGTCCTTTGTCTCAGATGTAGGATTCTAGTATCTTCTGCCAGTATGCATTAACCAGTAGCAGGTTAACTTATAAGTAGGGTAAAAACTTAGATTGCAGCCCTGGCCAGTTTTGCTCAGCAGTTAGAGTGTCGGCCTGTGGACCAAAGAGTCCTGGGTTTGACTCTGGCCAAGGTCATGTACCTCGGTTGCAGTTTGTTCCCGGCCCCGAGTTGGGGTTGTGTGGGTGGCAACCAATTGATGTGTCTCTCACATCGATGTTTCTCTCTCTCTCTCTCTCTCTCTCTCTCTCTCGCTCTCTCTCTCTCTCTCTCTCTCCCCCACTCTGTCTGAAGACAATTGTAAAAAAAAATATCCTCGGGTGAGGATTAAATTAAAAACAAAAACCAAAACTTAGACTGCATAGTTCTTGACAGGTATGTCCAGATATTATCCCTAAGTCAATTATGCTAAGGCAATGTTTCCCACCAGGGTGATTTTTGCCATACTAGTATACAACTTATGCTATTAATATTGTGTTCTACTTCATTATTATCTTTAAATGGACTCATTTGGTTTGAATACATTTCTGAAAAGGAAAACTTACACCACCACCCTAAATCTAAACTATCATCCTTTACCTTAGACAGAGAGTGTACATTAATACACATTTAAATAAATACAAGGATATTACAATTTAAAATATTTGTGTACTGTGTAAAATCATTTCCACCTGTCATCATCAGGCCTTTCTACTTGAACCTCAAGTTAGCTGATTATATCAGAGTAGTTATGGCTAGGACAGACTATCACAACCAGTGTTTTTAATGAATGTTGAGGTCTTTTCTTCCCTATAAAAAATTCTCATCAAGCACACCCCCCCCATTTAGAAAAAAAAGGGGGAAAAGAAGTCTAGTGCTCTGATCTGCAGTGGGGACAGTCATCATGCTCCAGGTAAGTATGTTCAGGACTGCCTGGCCATCAGCCTAGGAGGCTCTGGTGCCTGCTGCAGGTTGGAGCAGGGAAACCAAAGCCAGACCTTCCTGGAGAGTAGTGTGGCCTGAATGAGCTCTTCCACATCCTGCCTGAGCATCGCCCCTCAGAGTACCAGGGGGACGGCTTCATCCTATCTGTAAAACTGCCACAGGGAACCCCTGGGCCCTCATCTCACTCCAGCCAGAATCCAGCCCGACCAGCAACCATCAGGCTATTGCGAACTTATAGAATGGTTTGGAGACATGAATGACCCCCCCTGCCAATAAAAAAGGATCACAGAGGAAAAATAAAATAACAACTGGCACAACTGTGAGCCGTAGATACATATATAGAAATGCAGACTTAGATGTATAGATATACCATCTTATATAGAACTTTCATGTTTCCAGGTAAGGATGGGAATATCCCCAAATCTGACTTGAATATCCCTTTACACTTTACACATCTAAGGGTATCTGTTGAACGGTGAAGAGGGCCTGCCACCAACCTTCTGGAAGAGATCATTTACCCTATGAAAATAAGAATCAGGAAGATAAAACTGGAATCTTTAGACACAAAGAAGCTATGACTAAAGCATAATATGTTACTCAGACTTGTCTTCTGGTCCAACCCTTAAACAGACCCATTGTGTCTGAGTCTGATGGGGAAGAGGGGGCCTGTGATTAAAATTCCAGTTGCCAAGATATCTATATCTTGGCCCAAGTGGCCCTGCATGTCTGTCTAAATTAGGATGGGCATTCTCCCCACTTCTGTAGAGGTCAATTTGGGAATTCAGCCTCCTGGGGGTTCTGAAGAAATGTGTTGGACTCCACCATTTGAAAATTCCAAAACATCAACATCAATGGGGCCCTGATAGGTACAGAACATGGATGAAGGGGCAGAACTATCCAATATATATGGTAGTATCAGTGGGGAGGGATGGGCATTTTGGCAGATACAGCAGGAGAGGAACATAAAGGTGGCATCCACCTAACAGTTGGCCTGGATTTGTTCTTAAGTACAGGTGAAAAGTACTTTCTCTACCCTCCCAGATAGCTGAAACAAATCTCTTGGGAGTTGGAATACTGCATGGGCAGAAGAGGAAAAAATCTGTCAGATATAACTCTGTCAGCACCTTGTTTGGTCTTCACAAGATCTCTTAAAGATTATTATCATCTCTATTTTATAGATAAGAAAAGACAAAAACCTCTGGTGGTAATTTGGAGTTCACATTTGCTTCTAAAATTCTGTCAACAAATATCAAGTGTCCCAATGCCTTTAGAAATAAACTGATAAGTGCTGTTGATTACCTCTTTTTTGTTATAAAAGTTTTATTATTTTAACAATGCGTGTATATTCTAGAAATAAGGAAAAATACGAGTAAGCAGAATTTTTAAAAATCACTCATAATCCTACCACTTAATTAACTTTTTTGTCTTTCACTTCTCACATTTTTTTTGTGCATATCTGTATATACAAATGTACCCTTTCCTTTTAAAAATATGATATTCACATATTCCTTAGTAACATTTTTTCATTTTATATCCTGTAAGGAACCTCTTTTTGTACAAATGAATAAAGTTCTCTCTCCTACTAAAATGCAGAGATTTGAAGATTGATTCAAAATACAATAAACAATGAGATGCAGAAATAAGAGATGCATCTAAAACAACTAAGAGCAACAAGTTAAAAGTAGAAAAATGGACAAAGGTTTATCAGGAAAATGCAAATCATAAGAAAGCTATATGGCAATGTTAATATCAGAAAAATAAAAATCAAGGTAAACTACATTAAATAGGGGTAAGGATGGTTTCGATTAGCCTTCCAACGCATCACTATAAGTTTGTTTCTTACTCTCCTTATCTCGTCTATTTCATTCACTTCTCTAAACATATCATCCTTGCTTAAATGCCTGTTGTGTATATCTTCTTTAAATTCCTGGAGAGACTGGATCAGCCTTTCTCTAAAAGTTCCTTCTGTTTTTTCCTTCTCCTCTGGCTCTTCCTCCTCCCCTGGCTTTTCCTCAGACTCTGGCTCTTCCTCAAGCTTTGGTTCACTCTCATTTTCTGGTTTTCCTTCTATTTTTTGACAGGGTTTCATCTTGTGTCTGTCCTCTTCCTTCTTTCCTTTTCCTCTTCCTTTGTTTTCTGTTTATTCCTCTTTGAATGTAATTACTTCTAGGAAGCAAGAAAGAGATGGTAAGTCAAAGGCTTGGTGACTGGACCCATGCTCTGGACAGAGGTCTCAGCGTTTGCTTTTTCTATTTGTTTCTCAGCCACCATCAAATATCTTCCACCCAGGAGACTCATTCAGCAATGAAGGATTCCCAGAGCCGGCCCCTCTCACCTCCACTTTCCATCACCTCACCTCGGTCTAGTCCCTCCCTCCAGCCATTTCCAAGGCCCTCCTCAACCACCCCGCAGGGCATAACACAAGATCCTCCCAGAACAGAGGGGGCTGAGGGAATCGGGGTGGGGGAGTGAGGAAGAGTGGGGCCTACACCTTAGTAGCACCCTCGCCCACCTCAACCCCCGGCGTCTTTATATTCCCCTCACCTACCAGTATTGCCTGGGTCAACTTCTCCCTGGTCTTTTCTAGCCTGTTGTGTAGTGCTGTGAACAACAGACTTGCAGATCTGCGGACAAACGGGAAACGCGTGGGGGAGGGGGTGGGAGAGGGAGGAGGGAGTGGAGGGAATGGAGGAGTGGAGGTGGGGCGAGCGCTTGGTGACCAGCACCACGTACCTTTTTCCTCATTAAGGTTCTCGGTTATGGAAACTTCCTCACTTGTTTCTCCCAGTTATCCCCCTCTCCACAGTGCAAGTTAGCTCAAAATTCCCATCAGACAGGGAGTACAGGAAAGGCAGAATATTTCTTAACTCTCCAAGACTGAGCGGGGTTGGGGGAAGGGTAGGTGTTGGGAAAGTGGTCTGAGATGGCAGAGGCTGATTATTTTTAAACTATCACAGGTCTCCCTGTCCTTCTCCCGGAGACCTTCAGTCCCTCCCTTTCCCAAGGGTCATCATTTACTGCGGAGGTGGGAGTAAGGTGGGCTTGACCAGGTTTCTGCCCTAGGCCACCCCCATCCTAGAAATCCCCAAGCAGAGCCTATTTTGACACCCACCTGCAAAATTCCGGTCACTGACTCTTTCTCCTTCCCTGATCTCAGGCCCCACTGTCGCGCTGCAGAAGGAAGCTGGTACCCAGACGGGAACAAGGACCAGACTAGCAGGACTTCTGCACACGTCGACTCCTGGTCACGTGAGATCTACGTCACCAGTGAGCTCCGGTCCCTAATTTCCACTCCCAGCAAAAGCGCGGCATAAATAAGACACCCCCCCACCCCACTCCTCCTCCCTTAGACATTTGGCCCTGTCAGTCTTTTTTGTTGTTGAGTATCCCAGGGGAAATGTTTTATTTGCCTTTCTCTGATTACTAGGGAGGGGCTGCATCTTTTTCTGGAGCTATTAGACTTTTCTTCTTCTTTCCAGAATTCTCTTCCTGCCTTCTGATCCCAATATTAAGAATGCATACAGCCGTCACCCCTTCTTCAGCCTCCATTTAATCTGAAATCTGGTCTTTGGGTTGGTTTGGCAGGGGATGGTTAAAAAACAAAAAGAGCCTGTGACAGGAATATTTTTTAATGTAGTTTTTACTTTATTCTTAATATTTTTATATTATTTTTTTAGTAAAATATCTTTTATAGTCAGAAAAAACAAATTTACTTTAGTTAAGTGAGTTAATGTGCACAAATTGGCAGTTACTAATAGTCAGGGGATATAAAGTACAGCATAGGAAATATAGTCAATAATATTGTGGTAACTATGTCTGGTGCCAGGTGGCTACGAGACTTATGGGGGGGGGACTCACTTCATAAGTTATATAAATGTCTAACCCCTGTAATGTACACCTGAAACTAATATAATATTTAATCCCAACTATAATTGAAAAAATATATTAAAAAAAAGAAGATGCTATGGTCATCTCAGAATAGAACCTCAAGCCACTAGGCTACATTTTCAGAATCAGTTCCTCCAGAGCACTAGCAACAAAGAAGGATATTACTACCCTATTGAAAAGGGTCACATAGAGTGGAGACTGGGAGAAAAGCTCACTTAAGCATACTCAGGCACAAATCAACCTATGACATTCAAGTGAGCAAATTCAAACTGGTAAACTTTCTCAAGAAACATTCTCTTACGCTCTAACTTTTGGAATTGAGTATTTTTGTCACACTTGCAAAGTATGGGATTGGTGACAGCAGACTTATGTCCCTGTATCACCTAGCCAAATCATTTTGCCTCTTTGGGGTTTTGGACATTTTTTATTGGTAAAAATCAATGAGACTAATAAGCAGGTTTCAAATATTTAAAAGAACAAGTTAATGCCTGTACAGTCTATAGGACCTGGCATATAGTAAAGTGCTTTAAAACTACCAGCTATTATTATAATTATATTAGGATTTCATTTGGGGAAAGGATTTGAAATGGGAAGGAAAAAAAGGAATGTTTGACTCCAGAGCCCTGGTGGTGGTATTTGCCAAGAAGCTGTGCTGCCTGCATAATCATCAGTGGTTTTCTTATCTGTAAGAAGGGAATGATAATATACACCTCATATAATTGACTGTTGGGAATTCTAAATGATAACATTCTGCGAGAAGCACTTCACTTATATAAAGTCTTCAACGAATATTGGTTATCTTTTAACCTCAACTCAGTCTTTGGTAAAAGCCATAAGTGTGCCAATAAAAATTGCGTGGCTCTCAGAGATAACATTTGGAAAATAACAAGGAGATATAAACACACATTTTTGTTCTGTATATGTTTTGGTGGCCTGTTGTGAGGCAGAATAAAGACCTCACTGATGCCCTGGGTGGTTTGGTTCAGTGGTTATAGTGTTGGCCCGTGGTCCAGAGAGACCCAGGTTCCCTTCCCCTTAAGGGCACATACCTCGGTTGCAGTTTGTCACCGTTTGTCCCCGGGCCCCAGTTGGGGTTGTGTGGGTTGTGAGGGAAGCAGCTGTGCAGATTGTGCAGGAGGCAGCCACTCGATGTGTCCCTTTCATGTCGACGTTTCTCTCTCTTTCTTGTCCTATCTCTCCCTCCCACTCTATCTGAACAAAAATGGAAAAATGTCCTTGGGTGAGGATAAAAAAAAACAAAAAAACACCTCACTGGATTATGTAGGAAGAAAGAAAAAACACCTCATTGCAACTCATTTTTTTTCACTCGCTCTTCTGTCACATTATTCCTTCTGCGAAGCTTGTGTATTTGAGCACCAGAAAATCCAAGATATAATGGTTTGGGTCTGCTGGACAGAACACTGGTGTGAGAGACAGGGCCCAGTGCTAGACCTAGAATGTGTTTCTAGTGCAAAGTCCATGTGCCCAATGCTTTAAAAGGCCAAAACTCAAAACATCAAAGTTTGGAGTAAGGAAAGGTTTATTGATCAAGAAGTTTCCTATTGAGAAAATGGGGAACCTAATCCTTAATACATCTTAAAGTAGAGATTTCAGTCTTCTTTTATGTCAAGGGAAGGGGAAATGGGAGGGGCAAAAAGTGATTGAAGACCACAGACTTCTGGGCGCCAGCAGAGGCCAGAGGAAGACTGTGCTTAGTCTGTTGACCCTAGCTGATGTAAGTCCAGGTCACAAGGTTTCTGCAGATCTTTGGTAAACAACACATACCTCCCTTATCTCCTCAGGGAGATCATCCTCTGGCAAGGGCTGTTTTTGTAAACCTCAAACCGAAAGCAGAATTCCTCCAATGATTTGCACGTCTATATGCAAGAAGCTATCAACCTGAAGGCTATGGGAACAAAGCAGACTTGAACAAGATGGAGTCAGAGAGACCGAGCATTTCACTCTGTTACAAACTGACCTTGTGACCCTTAATAAGTTGCTCTCTCTTTATCTCTAAAACGAGAACACAGGTGAGCTCTAAGAACTTTAGAAAGAAGCATGTGATTGGTAAAACATTTGAATATATTGTCCTTAGGAAGATTGAAACATCCTGATTGGCAACTGATTTTCTTCAGCTTAATGGAGATGTTTCCAGAAATCTTTAGAATATCTGAAAAAAGAAAGGTACTTTGCTGCCATTGTCTCATTTTATACTTGTAACAATTGCAAGGAAGACATTTCTATTTTTATATGAATAAACTTAACAGAGAGTTTAAACAATATGCCCAAAGACATTATCTCCGTAGATCTGATCAGAAAAGGTCTCCACTTGAGGTTCCGCCTTTAGAGGGTCATTGTCTGGCCCTCCTCTTGAGACCCTTCTCCCTCAGTCATGAAGGGTCAGTGGGACAAGATGTACCTACTTGGAGCCTTCACTTCTTTTCTTCTAAACCACACTCTATAGATACCTAGGACCCTAGAATATCTTGTCCAGAAGAACAGGAGCCCAAATCTAAGGCCTGCTTGTATCCCTTCTCTAGGTCTAGCCTCCTGAGTATGGGCCACATCCACTGTGGGTTCACCCTAGGGGTGGAATAGAAGATATACCTGCAAAGGTAGAACCGCCTTGCATGAAGCCATTTGGAGAAAGGGCTAAAGGAGAGGGTGGAATTCCAGGCCAACAGGAGTTCAGAGAAGGCAAAAGCCAGCAAATCCATTAATCAGAGATAGCCTCAAGGAGGAAAAAGACCTTGACCTGGGCCTTGGAGTGTGGGTAGGACATAGAAGAGGGTGAGCGAAAAGAGGAGACCAGTCTGACTGACTCTAGGCCCTGTGTCCTTACCATTATCCTAGCCTGTCTCATGCTGCCTTGCTAGGTAAAAGCCCACTTGCTCTTCCTTAGGGGTGCTTAAGTCTATTGATAATGGCTGTCATCTGAAAGCGGGTTCAATGCAAGTATTTTTGGACATATTCTGCACTATCTCCAAGGGCTTTCTCATTTATTTCCAGGTCATGAAATATAAATCCATCAACCTTTCTGGATAGTACATAGGTAACTGCTAAGTAGTTAAATATGCATTCTTTTTGAGTCTGTAAATCCATTCTTAGGTATATACATCCTAGGAAAATACTTAATGGCAGTCACAAAGATTTACTACAACAAAAAGTTTATAGACCTAAATTCCTAGTATCAATCCTTTGACGTGAACCTGAATATACAAAGAGAAGCCACAAGTGAAAAGGAGCAATTAAGGAGCAGAAGGTAAGAGAGAATTGTTCTAGGAGATATCAGATACACACCCAAGCATGTACACAAGCATATGCACATTCACACATGTGTGTATACATTCTTGTAAGCTGAGTATTCATGTTATATGATTTTGCTACAGGATAAAAAAAAAGGCAAATTTATAATTCCATTAAAACAATTCAAACTGCACAATGATATGTACCATTTACAAAATAAAAATGACTAATAGGATATTTAACATAATTCTTTGTAATAGGCACAATTAAGAAGAAACTTAAAAGCTTTACAATAGGGAACAGATTAAATTAATGTAACAATCATATCATAGATTTCTAACAAAATGTTAAAATAATATCTATTGAGAACAGAGAGTTAATTTTTCACCTATGCAACTAGAAAAAGATAAAAAATATTGATTATAGTCAGAGTTGGTAAGGTTATAGATAAATAAACATTCATTCACATGCACTTTGAGACCATAAAATAGTATATGGATGCTAACTAGACTTATTGTGGTGGTCATTTCACAATATATACAAATATCAAATCATTATGTTGTATACCTGAAACTAACATGCTATATGTATGTCAATTATACCTCAGTAATAATAGTAAAAAAAAAATACAAGCAAAATGCAAAAAAAAGAATAATAGTACATTTTTGCGGGTCATTTTGGCAATATCAAACTTTAAAATATATGTGCTTTTGGACACATCAGTTTCTCTTCTAGTGATTTATCATACAGAAATACTCTCATGCCAAATACAGTCATTGAGGTAGTTGTGGTAATAGACTTTTTTGGGGGGGAAAAAGGAAAAAGTTTAAATATTCCTAAAAGGGGATTGGTTTAAGAAAAGTTTGATCACTCATACAGTGCAGTACTATGCAGTGATGAAATAATAATGATGTGAGGTTATATTTACTCACATGAAAAATGTCCTATATATTGTTAAGAAAAAAGGCAAATTCAAAGTTAACACGTGGTAGTAGTACATTTTTTGTCACAGCATATATATATTTATTTTTGTGTATTTAAAATATGAGAATACAATTAAATTCCCCCACAACATGATAAATGAAGTTT